ATTTCATCAACACTTCATGCATTCATTTGACTTGCATCCATCACCTCACTGGCTTAAGTTCTTTTACCGCAAGCTGACGTCCAAGCTGCGATCGGGGTGTTCCAGCTGGCGCCTTCCACTTGATGCCATACACGTTCTCTTGAATTGTAGGCAGTGGACGCTACCCACAACTTCTTTGGCAACTGTGTCACAACTAGTTCCTTGCCGGCCGCTTTGTCCTCCACCTTCGTCAAGTCCATGACTGGTTTCGGCTCTGCCCTGCTGTCTTCTTCTTCCAAGGGCCTTCTGGTCTTTCTCGTCTTGTCGCCACCTATGCTTCTGTTCGCGGGCTCTGTCTGCAAGGCGTCCTCCGCATAGGACAACACCACCGACGACTTCTATCTTCCTAGAAAGGCGAGCTCCTGTATGGGCATGCCAAGTCTCACATAGTTCATAGCCCCGGATCGTCTCGCCGAGTGCCCTTGGACACTTTCATCAGACACCAGGGACCAACCTTCTACCATCTTTGCTTTGGTCAGCTTTCTGCCATCCACATCGCCAAAGATGTATTCATGAGGTTCACGACCAGCACCTTTATAAGCCTCCCAGATTTCCCCACACACTTTGTAGGAGGACCATCTAGGACAGCACTTGCTCATGCAGCATTGCAAGGTTCGCCGCACTCCCAGTCCTTGTTGGTCACACTTCGAGAGGGGGATGAAAATAGACACCCTTCTGCCGATCTCGTAGACGGTCACGTCCTTCCATCTCATTGCGCTCACCTCAATCTCCCTGAGCGTCCAAATGACTGCCCAGGCGTATGACAACGCCGGTCTTGCTGCCCTCTTCGAACCTCCGCACCAAAGCATCCATTTGAGTTGCGCAATGTCGTCCAAACGAATTTCTGGCGCCCGTCTCACCGGACCTCGGTTCCTCCGGATGGATCTTTTGCAGTCCACCAATAACTTGTTCATCTGGAGGTTCACCTCGAAGCCCATCTCGATGTGCATCAGCTTCAACTCATTCAGGTATTGGTCACCCGATGTCCAACCCCCCGCTTTTATAGCTGCTGCTACATCTTCAATGGTGCTCAGTTGCAACGGAAAGATTTGTCTTCCTTCTCCCAAGCTCGCCCTTGCCATCATCAGAACCTGCTCACGCTTGGTCTTCTGAGCTGCCTTCGAGGATTTTGCCAAGAAATCCCTCTCTCGCCTGTCTCAGCTTTTCCACGCCCTGCAGGATGTCCATGATTGCTTCGAAGGATCCTCTCTTCGGTTCCCCTGTCAATCCGGTCTTGGCCAACACTGGACATCCACGTTGCGCCGAAACATCGCCATCCTTCGTCTCGAAGCCAGCCCCCCTTTCTGTTCGATTCGATCGACTACCAATCAAATTTGACATGCACTTCAGCGGGTCCCCGGTGCCATGACCCAGCAGCCCCATCACTCTCGGTGACGCTACTGTAGTCGGGATCCACGTCGTAGCACAGGGCCTGGAGCCACACCACCAAGGCGGCGCATGTCCTGCAGATCTTGCACCACCGGCTGCGCCCTTTGTACCATGGCCTCGAGAATCTGCTCCTGCACTCCTCTGCCACCCGGTGACACCCCCATAAGACTGCTTCGTCTGCGCTTCTCTGGGGTGAGGCTGACTGGTCTCCTTGATGAAGGCGTCCTTGTCGGTGACATTCCCCTCTGACCCCTGGGAGACTCTTCTCGAATCCAATCCTCTCTTCTTGCCTTTTCCTTTGGCCATGGGGTCACCTCCAACACCTGCTCCGCCTCACTTTCCCTTCCTGGTTGCCGCGGAGAACTCAGCCCTCGGCGCCAGCAGCAGCAAATCAAAGTCCAACACCACCTCGCCGCTGTGCACCCAAAGAAAAACCAGCCTGCTAGCACAGCAAACTCCCCAAAAGACCACCCTTGTGGTGAGTCCTTGGGGCGAACGGAGGGTTGCAGAGCTTGCTCCATTGAGCCCACTGGGCGACAGACGGGTCCACTGTGTCCAGTCCCCCGCAACCCTCAACCCGAGGAACTCCGAATCCACGACCCCGCTCAAACCGCAAACCAAAACCCAGGGGGGGGGGAACAACACCACGCCCCGGTCGAGCGAGCCCGAAGTCCCTTTGCAGCACCTTCACGCCCCTTCCACTCTCCCTTGCCCCTCAAGCCGAGAATGGTGCTCCCAACTTTTGGACACCGTCCATTCACAGCAGCTCGAAGGATCCTGACACTTGGCTCGCGGAGGCCCCCCAGAGACTAGGTGCTACACCCGGTGGGCTCAGGTACGAACCATGGATCAGGTTCCGCGGGAAGGTCTTGATGGGCGCGTTCCGAAGGCGTTCCGGCTTAGCGTCGCTTCGCTCATGCGGCCTTGATAGCCAGTCCGCCTCCACGTTCCAATTGCCAGGGATGTGCTGCACAATGATTCTCCTGACTGACACCGTGCTTTTCGCATCGCATGGCCAGCTCAGCGCCCAACCAGTTGATCACTGGCGACGGGGATGACAACCTCTTGGTCATAGCCAATGCCACCACGCTGTCGCTCCTCAGGATGACACTCTTGCCCTCCAGGCGATTGCCCCACCGTCGGAAGGCCAGCTTGACCGCCCAAGCCTCCACTGGTCCTTGCGATCCCGACTCTTTCCAACAGCCACTTGGCATCCTCTTCCAGCACGGGGACCTCCAGCGCTTCCAGGATGGTGAACCTGACCACGTTGTGGTCCACGGTTGCCAGCAGCGCTCCCATGCCCTGAGGTGAGGCGTCCGTCACAATGGCGAAGTCTGGCAACCTCTCCTCCAGCTGCTCCGTGCGTAGCGCCAACTTGTCAGGGTCCTTGAACAACGTGACAAACCACTTTCGCGGGAGCTCCAAACGCTTCACTGACACCAATCCCAATTTCGGCCTCTGGTCTCCTCTCTTGGTTGCTCGTCTCTTCTCATCTTCTTCAGCCCGTTTGGTGTCAGCTATCACCGCATACATCACGCTGACAGCCCAGCGCGTCCGCGGAAGGATACCACCATGCCCTTCTGCGCCCAAGACTCCAGCGTGGCGCAAATCTCTGTCGTCATCTTTCTGGGCACCGTCAGCTTGACCACGGCCTCCGCCTGCATGATCTCGAACATGACCCCGATCCATGATAGCTGACAGCCCCGTGCTCCCTTGCGCCAAGCCAAATTGATTCCCAAGGCGCGGCCTGTGTACAAGAGGAGGGCCAGGTTCCTGTTCCTCCTGGATGAGGGTCCTCTCAAAATCCAAATAGGATCATCCATGTAGACCTGGCTCTGCATCTCCGAGGGCGCAATCAGCGACTGCCATATCCTTGCTAGGCACGCTGCAAAACGTCCCATTAATCGAGGAGCACCTTTGAAGCCAAAGAGCATTGCGACCCACATGAGCGTTTCCGTTGGGTACAAGCCGGGGCTCAAGCAGTTGGCATGCTCTTCTGGATGGACAGGCAGATGGCAGTAGGCGTCAGGTCTGCTGCGATCATCTTATAGTCGTAGATCCCACCATCAGGCCGGTCCTCATCCAACACCCATTCCTCGTCCCCTCAGCAAGTCCACGATGATCCTTCGCTTCACTGATCCATCGTCCTTCTCCTTGACCAGCAATGCCAGCTTCGACACCGTTCCATGCTTGTGCACCTCCTTGGCCTTGTTCGTCGGGAGGACCACCGCGAAGCCTTCCTCCACCAATCTTCCCAACTCGGCCTTCGGGACCGCTTTGTCATGAACTACCCCGAGGCTTTGGACGTGGCCAAGAACTATGGCATGGACAGCAACCGACCCAGCATGGAGGTGGAGATGGCTTGGAAAGGAGCCCTCAAACAATTCTTTCAGACTCGGACCTTTCAGGACGTGGTGCTCCGGAGAAACACTTGGTAGAGTGGATCAGGCGGGGCGTCCCCTTATCCATGAGCAGAGAGATCCCGTGCTGCGGGATATTCCCGAAAGCAGACGATCCTGACATGGACGTGGAGGAGGCCCCTGAGCTAGCGGACCAGCTGGGCATGGAGAACTATAAGAGCTTCACTGATGAGCCTGCGCACGCAAATCCTTGACACGTCCACGCCGACCTGCCTCATCTTCGACAGCTTTTCCACCGCTCTGCCAGGGTTGCGCATGCCACCGATGTACCGCTCATTCTCCTCCCTTCTCGCCTTCTTGGACATCCCCATCATAGGCCTCATATCCTGCGTCACCTGGGTCTGCTCCCAAACCCTCTTCGACGGATCAGCCGTGGGTTGTCCTTCAGGGGGTCCATGATAAATGCGCTCCTTGCTGGCAATCCATCGCCGCTTCAAAGCCGACACTTCCTGCTCCTTGCTCTTGAGCATATGCCTCCAGTACTCCAGCTGCATCATGTGCTTGAAGGCGACGATCACCAGTTTGGTGGGTATTGGGCAGCAGCAGACGTGCGGCGAGACCCTACAAGAGGTTCATGACGGATCCACTGCCCACATGTGCAAGCCTCTTCAACTTCTCGAGGTCCAACAGCCGCCCGGCAAAACGACCTGGTTTGTACCACCTGCACCTCTCCCCCTCTTGAAAGGCACACGTGTTATAGTCGACTACCTGCCCCTCAAACGCTTCCAAAAATGCTTTGATCTCCGGAAGCTCCCAGGCAGGTCCTTCTTCTCTCGTCTCTGTTCCTGGGGGGTTTTCTAAAGTTCCCGACTGCGGCGCCTTCCTTTTGCGCTGGCTCTTCAAGATGGCCCCGATGACTTCCACGGATCTCGTCGCCAGCAACGCGCCTGTGTCTGCCATCTGCTGCTTCTCAACCGAGTTGGACGGCAGCCCGTAGATGTGCTGTAGAGACCTCAGCGGTGGTGGTCCACGATGATCCATGTTCCACCTAGCCCTACTGAAGGTGTTGCATGGAAACCCGGCGTGTCCAGCGTCAAAGGCGTGGTTTTCCGCCTCCTCTTTCAATTCCATGAATGGATGGTCCTTCGAGAGGTCGACGTCTCCTTCCCCTTTCTTATCCAAACTATACACTTCAACCTGTATGCCTTCACGGGCGGCCATCTCCTTCAAGCAGCTCCCCAAAACGTCCGTCTCACCACTAAACATGTGGAGAAATCTGCAGGTCCTCAACTCCTGGTACTCGGGGTAATCCCTGGCCTGCTGCAGCGCTTCTCTCACCCGCTCGGGCAGGTTCTCCGCGTCCATGGGCTCTGGGCCGGACGAAGCGCTCGCCATGGTCGCCCACGCACGCCCCTTCCCGGCGCGCCGTCCCCCCGGTCGCTGAAGCCAAGCCGCACGAAGGTCAAGATCACGCCAAGACACATCTCCTCAAATCCGAACCCCGACCGACCGAAACGAGAAGTCCCCACCCAGTCCGAGTCCGTCCATGGAAACGTTTTCTCAACCATTGTTTCCCCCCCTTCCCCCGAACATCCCAAGTTCACCTCCAAAACGAACCAAAACACGCGTACCTGCCCCTTCCACCCCTCTCACGATCAACCGCAAGAGGGCTCAGCACCTTTCTTCCTCGATCCTCTACGGGATCAAGCCGGAGATGCTGACTTCTTTGGGCACTCCGCGTTGGGATGTCCAGGTGAGAAACAAATCATGCATTTACGCACGCGTCGAACCCTTCCCTTGCAATCTGAACCGGCTGCAAGTCCTGCGCATGGCCCGACGCCCTTCGCCCAGCTGTAGCAGATCTCTTGACCTGCCTGATCCTTTCCTTTGCCTTTGCTCTTTCCTTTGCCGCCATCACCTTTCGTGAACCGCTGCTCCCTCAAGCTGGCCAGCTCTTCACGATCTGATGCCCATCTCTTCCTCGTTGCCATGCGCTTGTCTCTGTTGGCCTGTCGTCGTCGATCAGCTCTGTCGTCGTCGTCAGCACGTTCTGCAGGAGGTCCAGGAACATGCGCTGCTGCTATCGCTTCTGATGGAGGCTTTGGTGAACCATGGGCCCCGCTCGCCATCCATGCCAGAGCCAAGGTCCTGAAGCAAGCTGTCCATGGGTCGGCCTCAGTGTATTCTCTAGGAGGAGTTCCCCCCGCTGCAATGTCCAAAGCAATTGCACGTCTAACCTTTTCCAACTTTTCTGCCCTGGCCTTGTCATCCGCTTGCACGATCAAGCCCCAAGCTTTGGGCCACTGCATCACCAGCTTCTCAATGACCTTTTCATACAGGAGGAGGGCGGCCAGCGTCACCAAGTTCAATGAAATGCACGCCACCTTGAACACTCTCCAACTGACCAACCACTGTTGCAAGTTTTGAGGCCCAGGCAACTCCTTCATCACAAAGGAGCCATCACCTATCGGCAAGAAGGCCCGAAACTTCTGGTTCTTCAGCCCCCTCCTCCCAAAAGGCAGCCACACCGAGAAGTCCACATAGGGTGGTTGGTTTTGAACACGGACTCGATGATGTAGGGCCGCCAGTTGTGCGTCTGTTGGCTCTTCTTCTTCATGAGGAGGAGCGCCCATTACTGCAATGTACCTTTGAGCCCATTCGTTCAAAACTATCGCATCCGGCAACTTCGTCTCCGAGTCGTCCGTCTGGTCAACAATGTTCGACATCTTCAACACATTGTCTTTGCTACTCACGGCGACACTGCCACTAGGGGCTCCACCGCCACCAGCTCCCGTTGCACCAACAGTTCCATCAAGAGGTCCCGGAGTTGCATCAGGCGTCCATGGATCCTTGTCCACAAATGTGTCAGGGCTCCCGCCTCCATGTAGGTGTACTATCCATCTTGCATTGCGCCACACCAGCCCCACTTGAGCCGCCTGGATGGGTGTCAACCGTTCTCCTGAGGGCAAATGCGAGGAACCCACGATTTCCTGGATCACCGGCCGTAGCCGTAAAGGCGTCCCATACGGGATCAGGGACTCCCAGGCCCGTCAAGAGGTCCGGCACCGTGTGCAAGCCCTGGGCTACCACGAGCCCAAGCAACACCATGAAAACACAGGAGGCTCGCGCAACACGAAAAGAAAAACATTCCTTTCTAACATCTGAGCCTCAAGCTCAGCAGGAAGTCTAAAGGGCAGTCCCTCCCACCCTCCAAACAAGACTTAAGTTCTTTTGTCCTGCAGTACCTTTGGTACTTTTACTGCAATGAAATGCAAAACGAATCAAGGGTAATGCCGCAGTGCCTTTGAACCTCTAGACACTCAGCATTCCAACATGAGTTCGAGCGTCTGCATTTGATCACAGGAGATCTCATGTTCACCGTCTTGGTCTGGTCACGAATAATGGTGAACTCCTAACACAGCAATGCCAAAAATTGCAGCTTAGCGCTTGGGACCACTTGTCCTGATCCAAAAGGTGTGCCTTCTCGGTTTAACCCACTAAAAAAATAAATAAACAATGGGAATTCAAACATGAGCCAACTTGCCGCTCTGTCCTGATAAGGCTTCGAAGAACTGATGGACTTCTTCAGCAAACTAATTTTCTGCTTGTGCCGTTCGCCAGCCTGCAACTTGCAAACCAGGGCGAATGAATTCTTACACATGCTGTCTAATGTCTTTCATATTACGTAGCTGCGTCCATCGCACAAATAATCTTTAATTCTAATTCTATTTACAAATATACTCACGTTATGTATATATATATATGTATATACACAGTATATAGTATATATATATATACATATACGTATACTACCTCCGGAACCCACCTCCCATAGCAGAAGTGCAGGCAGCAGATGACATTGAAATCAGACAAAAAACTGAGTTAAAGCATCACATGACATTGTGCAAGACATTGGGCGCTCTTTTCAGATACTGTTCCATAGCACAGGAATGTCGCACACACAAACAGTTTCAGTGTATAACGAAGACCAACACGCAAATGTGGCGGATTCTTTCCTTTCTGGCAGCACGCATCATTCACTACTGCTTGGGCAACACAGACATTTTCCAACGCCCATGAGCAGAAATCCGCAGACGCTACCCATAAATCTGTTTCTAGTCTGAATGGATCTTGGTCCGCAGCTGCATCGAACCAACTTGTGTATGCAGTATACTCATTATACTTTTGAGGAAGCGCCGCGACCTGTCGACCACCTGAGTCCCGCTCTTGACCTTTATGGTCTGTCCCTTTTGGGGATCTTTCTGCTTTGCAATCTTCACATACTTGGGGTTTTGCCAGATCCAGTTGCCGCGCGCTTTGACTCACTTCTTTTTCTGATGGAGGACCTTGTCGTGGAAAAAATCAACGCACCTTCGCTTCATAGCTCTTGGCGCTGGCTGTGTTTAAGATAACGTTGCAATCCTGAAGCCATTTGCGAGCCAGAGGTTCCCGGTCAACCTTTCGGATGGCTCTCGTCCCCGGCACAAGCCAGCAGCAAACCAGTATTTGGTACTTAGCGGTAGCAGACAATCAGTATTTGGTACTTAGAGAAATTTTGGAGAACACAAACCTTGCAAGGCCAGTAAGGTAGTAAGGCAGTAAGATAATAAGATTCTGGAAAACTTCTTGGTGTCCAGGGACTGGGCACGAACCAGTTTCTTGACCAAGTTTCACTAACTGGACACACAGAAGTTTTCCAGAATCTTATCACTGTATCTTACTACCTTACTGGCCTTACTGGCAAACCTTCAAACCTTCCAAGGCCTTGCAAGGTTTGTAGTCTCCACAATTCTCTAAGTACTAGACTACAATATATTTGCTAATGTTGCAAGTAGCTTTAAAAATATAAGAATACACAGTGCTGCAAGACTACACGGCCAGAGTTTTGTTTGCACCAAGGACTACACGCCAATCGTGACATGGCACTCGCCCGTGCACGTCAACCAACGGTCGGACGGATCAACACGGCACCTTTCCGATGGTCGGAATGCCATCTCCAATCTTCCACTCTTCCAGTTCAGCCATGCCTGGCTGAACTACTCCGAGTCTCACTTCAGCTGAAGATGTGAGTCAGTCTGGAGTGACCAACATAGGAAACCACTCTGGAAAAGCAGAAAAATAGATTAAACAAACTGATATCATGCAGTAGGTGGACAAAGTAATCGAATCTCGAAGGGCTATCTCTGTTTCTTCCCCACTTGTCCTCAGCCTGGGGAACAATGCTGACAACATTGAACGTCATTGAACTCTTGGGCCAACAAAAACAAGCGTTGAATGCTGTCTCCAACTATGGATCTTCTTCTAATCTCCCAGAGCCTCCATATACCAAGTGTTTTGGATGTGGAGGGTTCACCACAACCTTTAAACTGCCCGTGATTTGCACGTGTTTCTTCGGGGCTCTTTCCCACATGTACAAGTTGACTTGCGTCACACCCACATTCGAAAACCTGACTGTCAGTCTTGCTGGCTCCTGGTGTCAGTGACTTCAAGGTGGTGACTGGTGCATTCGACGAATTGAAAGCAATCAGTTCTCCCCGTTCCCCCCTCTGGGTCGGTCGCACCGTCGGGATCTTCCTCCAGGAGAGCACGCACCTCAGGAGGGTTGCAACGCTACGGACGAAGGATCTGCAAGAAACTCGGCATTGAGGCATGGTTGAACAAGGTCGACAAGTCACGCAAGAAATATATATATATATATATATATCAGGAAATGCACTAAATCATTGTTGTCTTTGGGAGCTGCCACAAGTCAATATCCAATCCATTCCATTCCTTTAGCAGCTCCAGGCCAGCAACTTCCCTTGTTTGTAGCGTGCCTTCGGACACACGTGCAATCAATTCGGGTCTGAGGATCTGCTGAGCCCGTGTTGTTGTGCAAGGTGAACTTGTAGGTTTTGGCTGTCCAGTTCGCGAGCTCATCCATACCTGGAGGCACGAACAGCATGCGTGTCGACGAACGGCACGAGGTCCCGAACGTTTTGTGTCGACTAAAAGAACCTCATGGGGCAGGACAAGAAAAACATGGGGGTTCTCTGCAGTCCTTCGGGTTGTTGGTGTGAACAAATCCATTCACGAGGTGCTTTGAAGGCTTTTCTACTCAACTAGCCGCTCGGAAGCTGCTTCACCGAGTGCCCAATCTTTATTATTACTGGGTCTCCTATGTGTGCGAAGCCATGCCAAAACAGTGTTTCTTCAATTCTGGAAGGCACGAAACCTTCGAAACATGTAATAGTCAAAGTCAAAGGTCCGATTCCCCCATAAAAACCTTGGAGCTCTGTATTCTGAGATGAATTCTGAGAACCCTGGTGAGTCAAAGTCAAAGGCTCTGTATTCTGATTATTTCAATAAGTAGTGAGATGAATTCCACCGAGCAGCCAGCATGAGTGACGCGGCGCAACAAGTGCAGCGCCATGGCGCTGGGGTTGAGATATCGATTCGATCCAAAGGGCAAGGAGTTTGAGACCACCAGGTTAGCAAGGGGCTCTTCCCCTGCGAAGGCAACCTTCTGCCTCTATGACTATTCACGGTCGCAGTATCAGGCATACTGAAGTCGCGGACCTTCGTTCCTGTGTGAGGCCGAAGCTTGAGCAAAGTGAGGGTCTATATGTAGCTAGGCACTCGTCGATTGGCCATACAGCAGCTTTGAGAGTTGGGCGTTCATGAAGCGTTGGCCCCGAAGCGTTGGAAAAATAGAGAAGTATTGGAAACCGATTCATTCTTGGATACCTCTATCTTCAAAACTGTAGACCTTCGAAGGTCTCAGTTGTTTCAACCCTCTTCTCACTTATGTAGGATTATATAGGTATGTTGTGCATTGTTGTTTGGAAATTAATCCGTTTCTGTGTTTGCATTTGTCTGCAGCTCTTGAGCCAAAGTCGTGTCACCGCAGTGTAGGTGACGGGCCGCCCAAACCAATGTTCATGGATTTTCAGGATTGACCTAACGCCACCGGTAGTAGACTGGAAAAGGCTCGAATCACATCACCACTGTTTGATGCTGAAATCCATTGAAATCCACTGACGACAGTAGTACTGTTATTGTCTTTAGCGATTGGGTTCCCACAAGACTCGTTCGGACGGTCCCGGAGTCCCGTTCTTGCCGTTCTATTGGATCTGTCAACTGTCTGGGGCACGTTTGACGACTATATCTTGGCCGCCAGGCCGACGCTGCTCGAAAAGCTCGACACAACACCTCCCTCCGGGCTTCCCCGACGCTGCTCTGTGGACACGTGGCCTCAACCAGCCCAAGTGCCACACTCAGCGCTGCTCCCGTGCACCTGCCGAGTGCAACGGATGAGCCGAGCACGAACAGCTTGTTCAACGCTTCAACAGGTCGTTCTCTCAAACCAAGGAGGAACAAACACCAACTGACAGCCTGTGATGCGGTATGGGCCACAATAAGCTGCTACAACCAAGAAACATCGCAAAATATGGACCCTCCGTGCATATCATCTGCCACTGATCGGCCTTTGCTTCGCCCCACGGCACCATGGCTGGTCTTCGTCTCACGCTCCGTCGCCCGCCTGAAGGGCCTCCGATCGTGACCTCCGGGAGGCCACGCGTCCCGCGACAGGTCGTCCAAGAGGGAGTTCAACGTGAACCTCGGAACCAGCTGAGCTCGGATGGATCCAAAGCCGGACGAACCGGAACGCTTCGGAAGGCTCCGTTGTCCCGCGGAGAGCACAAAGAACGGTAGGGGGAGGGCAGCTACTGCATGTGCACAAGAACTCAGCTCTGCACTCGCACTCAGCTACTGGCAGCAGGAATCTCCTGCAATCCAATCCAAGGGCTGTGGATGGCAAAGGATGGCTGTGAACTTCCACAGTCATCAAAATCGCCTCTTCTTCTACCCTGAGCCTGTTGCATCAAAATGCAAGCTCAGAAAGCTACATTCCTGTCTTGACGGCCAATGTATGTGCAATTTGTGGACTGTGCCAATAACAAGTAAAGCAACGTATGACCATCTATGATAGAATCTATCTATGAGAAGAGGAATCGCTGTTGGAGGCCATCGATAGTAGGTTGGAGGCCATCGCTACTGGGTTGGAGACCATAGCTATCAGGTTCTTTTCGCTATCAAGTGTTCACTTTCTGTAAAAGCTCCGGGGACACCTCACCTGGCTGCCTGGGCACCCATGGTGCCCCTAGGGTCGTTCTTCAAGGCAAATCCCAGCTGGTATGCTACCTGCGAAGAGATGTCAGCCTCTTCATTTCAACGAAAGCACTCATTGACAAGTCATACTGCATTTATCAAACAAACCAATCACATCCAATCACTGGCTCATGGGAATGCCCTCAAGAGCAACGCCCAACAAACACTCTGGTCAGCTCCTCAGAAAAAACAAAAAGATTTCCCCACCAGCAGAACATGAGTACTTGGAAGTTGAGAAGAGTGATTCCAACTTTCACCCAGCAGAAGTTTCGTAAATTGCTCTCTGGACTGTTCGGAGCCTGTTGAGCTGTGTACTCTTTGCCACCACGGAAGGCATACGCCTCAAAGGTGAATGGTCCAAAGTGGAAACCCGGTGAATTTGTGCTACCTCAACTCAATTCAATCCTGAGAAAAAGCTGCCACAAATCATGTTCACCCTTGTCTTTTTTGATCTCGAAGTTTTTGCAATTGTGTCCGATAAGCTCTGTTTTTGGGGGAAACTAAGGCGCAGCCTTGGGTAGAGTGGTGGAGGCCAGCTCATGCACGTAGCACCTCATATCCAGGAACCGGTCGTCTTTCGCTGCCGACGGCACTGGATCTGACTGGCCAGAAACGTCCAACGAATACGATCCCTTTACCGGTATACCCCTTTGGAGTACCTGGTTGAGACAGCTCTTCGGAATTTATAGATCATATATGATCATATCATACCTGTAAAAATCCCCCCAGCACCTTCCCATTTCCCCAGACCCACCACAAAAAGAACCCAAAGGAGGTCGGCCCCTTTGGGGCCCCTGCATCGCGCCAAAGGTGATGAAGCCCACCAACGCATTCTGTGGCATCATGGCTAAGGACTGCTGTAAGGAATCCTGCCAGGAAAAACCACCCAACAGCTTCGCCATCAGCGGGTGGGTGGCACCCCAACGTCTTGGCTTTTTGGCCCCAGATCCCGGAGCTCAGAACCGTCCTTGAGGCCCACACTGTATGTGTTCTATTCACAACATCCGCTTTCCAACAGCTTCGTCATGACCAAAGCTAGGAGAGTGACTCTTCCCCTGTTCCAGCTCCTTCGCCTGTTCCAGCTCCTCTTCAATGAGGGCAATATCCAAAACCAGTAGAAAAACCGGCCTATCTCGAGTCGAAGATCTTCACAGACTTGTCAAGATCGTGAAACGGATGTGATCGAAGATTGGTCTCTTATGATCTTGCCACAGAATGCGCATCGTGCATCAAAACTATTGTCATATCTTTCTCGACTGGCTGAGAGGGTTGGGATCTGCGCAACCCATTTGCGTCGCCCCACTCATCAATCAACTACCAAGAGTATTGTAATTGTTGTGATCAACAAGCTCTTTCAACAGCCCAAGACCTCACTATTCAAAACCGATCATCTGAGTCTCCAACGGCTGGCAAACCACCTGAGGAATGATGTACTCGATCGTACTGCACCTCAATGGTGGGGGCCCTCTAGGCCGGGCCCTCTGAGAGACTCACTGGGTGCCCCCCCCCGGGCCCTTCACTGGCCACTGGGGATCGCAGTTCGGCTCGCTGAGTCGAGGCTGGTGCATTTGCAGTAGCTCCGCAGGTAGATTGGTCTCGGTGATGTGGTCTGCATAATGCCTTGGTCAGTCGGCCAATGCGGTCGGACCCAGGGTGGGCAGAGCAGAAACGGTGGGTTTGGAGGGGCAATTTGCCAAGCAAAAGGCATATCCGGTACCCCTGACCAAGCCAAGCATCTGAGGAAAACGATTGCGCGTGTGGCAGAACGGGCACGTCCAACCTGGGGATCAGAATGGGCACATCCAGAGTCTGGCATTCAAGTTCTGCTCTGAAAAGGTCTCTCCGTCTCACAAAGCCGTGTGTCATGTCCAGCTCATGAACACTTCTGTTCCCAAGCAGGGGGGGCCTGCTACGAAAAGGATTTCTCCACTGCCGGACTTTGGCTTTGGCTTTATGTCTGCCTTTCGTTGGCAGGATTCATCTGACTTATCCCATTTGGGTCATCGGTGTGCTCCTTCGTTTGGGCCACGGGGGAACCCCCGTGGTCCGGTCGTTCGGTCGCTCGGGCCGAAACTCTTGGAGTGGAAGTCCACGTAGCAAAGGGGGTTCAGCACAGCTCCACAATCTCTTCCCTGCAAGGAAGACCAGCATGGAGTAGCACAGGATGCTTTGACCATACGATCTTCGTAGGGGTCTACTCGGACAAAATCAAACTCACATGTCGCAAGCAATTCAACTGAGAACGGTCCATTGAGTGGGTGGCCTCTTTTGACATGGCCATTTTTCACAAAGAGCTGATTCCATGCCTTGCAGATCACGGGCTCATATTCCACTAGTTGGAGGCCCTCTGTCTCCTCCAACGAAGATCTCCATGAATCCAAACAGTACAAAAATATGCACAACCATGTGCGTGCGTGTGCACGTGCGTGTGCGTCTATCTGTGTGGGACATCTAGCCGTCATCCCCTAGCTGTCATCCACTGCTGTGGTTTCTATGCATCTCAAGAAAGAGAAATAAAATCCGCTCTCCGTCCATCCTTGAGCGGAGTGTATAAGCAGCCCAGCGGGACGATGATGCGAGTTGCATCCAATCTGCGGACTCGACGGCAGAGGGCCGGAAAGGACCAACCCCGGATCCCCAAAAATCCATTGGTTCAAACGTAGTCCGTGTTGGTCTTCCAACTCATAAACTTCAGCCATGAAAAACGGAAAAATGTATTTACCTATACAGCCTATACATATGATGTATAAGTCGCAGTGCGTCTCTCAATCACCAGGAATGACCCGTTCAGAATCGCTTAGTTTCATACTCCCCCTCTCCACCTGGTGCTGGGCCAAACGTTCCATGACATTCGTGTGCCATTGATCTGCTCCTGCGATCTCACCTGGGCACATTGATACACTTTTCTATCAGCTGAATATGTATATACATATCCCTATATATACAATATATTCATATAAATGCAGGCACGGGTACCTTCATGGATCTTTTGTTCCTTCAATATAAACACACGTAAAAATACAGCATCCCAGCGTCAACACCTTGGCAAAGACCACCCAACAACCACAAGGATGCCAGAATTTGACCTGCAGTCTCAGCTCTTGACATCCATTCTCACCCCGCCCAGCGGCTAGGCGCCCCAGTCGCCGCCTCAATGGGAAACACCGCTTGGCAAACGCGTTGGTGTTCGGCCTTTTCACCCTCCTTGCCCTGGCATAAACGAACGGTTTTTCCCTTATGTCCTGCGCATGACTTGCGATAAAAAGTTCCTGGTGCGTTTACGCTTAGGACATTCTGATTGCATGTTGCACGGGCCTCAAAAACACACAGGGCTGCGAAACGAGTTCTGATTTCAGGAGACAGTTGTGATATTCCAACATCTCTCGAACACTGCATGAACAAAACAATCCATTGAATTGATTGAAGTGTTCTTGCACAAGACTCAAGTTGCCACAAGAAATCACAAGTCATCCCAATGTGGCCCAGCCACTTCCACTGCCAGCCCGCAGCACTATGCTACAATATCCTTTTGAACCAAAGCCAAATCCCAATCAATTATCATACTGCCACACAAACAAAAAAACAATTCCCGCCAAAACAATATAATGAATGTGGTACTGCAAATGCAATCGCCAATCGCCAGTGTTTAACAAAATGCGTGGCAGACGTTTAACCCGACGCGCATGAAAGCAGGAATGAAATGTTTTTTGTGACCAAGACTGATTGTCCATGCAGCTGTTGTTCACTACCGGGCGATTGTTTTTCAACACATGACTTTCAAATGCTTGGCATTTATCCACGCAATGCCGCCATCACTGAAATTCGCCAGTTTCTGCACTGGTGCCAGCTTTGGCAGCATGAAATTTTTGGCCGCTTCAATCATTTGTTTTATTCAGCAATTGTCCATTTGGGGAAAAATAAACCACTTAGCACACCATATTGCCCTTAATGTCGCCAGCAAGTCTTGCACGGGCGACTTCTTCTTGGAAATAGAGTCCACCACTTGTCAGTTTATGCTCACACAAGCTGAAAGTCATGCGCATCCAATGGACTCACGTCAGAACCGCCACCGCTCGCATCGTGCTGGTCCAGTCCCACTTCTGCCAAGTGAGACATGCACTTGCACATCCAGAGTCTGGTTCTTATGGCCCTCCATCATCCACACGGATCTGCAAAGGCAAGCATGTGATTGCCAAAGACACTGGTACCCGGCACACTTTGGGTCCAATTGACCGGGCTTGTCAAAAATGGCTATGGTTGCTGCTGTGTCCTCACTCACTCCAACTAATTTCACTCACACTCGGTCATTCACATTCATTCAGCCATTCATTCATGCATTCACATTCATTCCTTCATTTTTTTCTTTCTTTCCTTTCGTTTCAATTCATTTCATTTCTTTCATTCATTCTTTCATTGTTTTCATTTCATTTCATTTCATTCATGCACTCTTTCATTCGTTGATTCATTCATCTATTCCTTGATTCAATCATTCATTCATTCATTCATTCTTTCATTTCATTTCATGTCATTTCCTTTCCTTTCCTTTCCTTTCCTTTCCTTCCTTCCTTCATTCATGGTTCATTCATTCGTTCACTTATGCATTCATGCATTCATGCATTCATGCATTCACTCATTCATTCATTCATTCATTCATTCCATTCATGATATGAAATGAAATGTGAAATCAAATCGAAATCGAGATCGAAGAAATGAAGTGAAGTGAAGTGAAGTGAAATGAAACAATTTCAAACGAAATGAAAGGAAATGAAAGAAAATGAAAACGATATGATATGAACATGAGTATGACTATGAAAATGAATGTGAATACAAGGAAAGGAAAGGAAAGGCAAGGAAAGGTAAGGAAAGGAAAGGTGAGCAAAGGAAAGGAAAGGAAAGGACAGGACAGGACACGACAGGAAAGGAAAGAATGAATGAAGGAAGGAAGGCAGGAAGGCATGAATGAATGATTGAATGATTGATTGATTGAATGATTAATGATTGATCTGGCTGAACTATTATATTTCATAGGTCGTTGGGTCGTAATTCGCTATTTCAAATGGAAATAAGGATTAGGTCGTTGAAATACCAAAATATTGGGTGAGGTCGGGGTTGGTGCGCGCGATGTGGCGCGGCGGGGCTGAACAGCTGCGGCAGCTGGCAGCCTGGCAAGACCAAGAAACAAACAAAGTGAAGTGCAAATCGCTGGACCTCTGCTTCTTCTCTTCTTCTTCTTCTTCTTCTTCTTCTTCTTCTTCTTCTTTTTGCTTCTTTTGCTGCTTCCTTCAAAGTAAAAACACCTTCAGAGCGATTAAGTTTTCTTTGCTCGAAGCAAAGCGATCCAGGTTGATTGGGGAAACAAAAGCTCCAAATTTGATCGAAATTTGGAGCCTTTTCAATTGGGGTGCGAAAGCTCCAAATTGGATCGAAATTTGGAGCTTTTTCAGTGGTGGTAGCAAGTTCGATCGAATTTTGAATGTGTGAAACTTCCTTGCTGCGCAGTCTGTCTGCAGGGAACCTTTTTTGGTCGGCGCATCAAGATTAGATGGACTATGGCGGCGCAAGGGATTCCTTTGCCTTCTTGTCACCACGTTTTGGAGACATTTGAATGAAAATCGGGTGCGGCTCAGCGTTATCATCCGGCCTTGCCAGCTCAATCGCCCCTTCTCCTCGCATGAGTTTGCGAGCGTTTTGCTGGGTACGGAGCCTGGATGTCCTGGCTGCGGGCCTGTACACGGCTCGCTTGATGCCAACATCGGACCGAACCTTTCTCTTGCGAGCAATGACCATCCGACCATGCCGATACACCTCATGTCCAGCAACACTGGTCCTTCGTTCCTTTTGCAGGAACTCTGTGGTGCAGTCAGAGAGTATGGCTTGAGCAGCCTCAGGGTCTGGCCCATACGACGAGACAAGCATGTAAGCATGGAAGACTTCTGGGCTGGTTTGCTGACCTAGGGTCTCTTGCAATTTGACGGCCTGGGCAAAGGAGCGCTCACAGGCTGCAGCTTGACTTGGGGCAAGCACAAAAGCAGACACCAACCGGTCGGCATTTTTGAGTTGCCTCTCCTTAATGTCAACAAGCACTCGAAGCCAAAGGTCCTCTGCCCCTTTGAACTTTGTCTTTTGCAAGAGGGCATCCCGGAACGCAAAAGCAGAGCGCATTTCTGCTATGGTAATGTCAGTTTCCAAGTTCAGGTATGTGGCCATGTCAAAAATTGAAAACTACATTCGAGAGCTATGGGTTGAAACCGGGAACAGGAAGTCGTGCCGCTCCCGACATCACTGGAACCTTGGATCAAGGAGGCGCAGAGTTGAGTCCTGAAGCTTATTCCCGCTTCCGAGCGGCGCTAGGAAAATTGAGTTGGTTTGCACAGACCCGACAAGACATTCGTGCCTGGGTTGGATTGCTCGCTACCCAACAGAGTAAACCAACGGATGCCACCGAGAAAGCACTGAAGGCAGTCCTACGTTTCTTGCAGAATGATCAGAACATTGTGCTTCGGACGCCGGCGGACATCCCAGCCAGAGATGATGGGAGACCACACCCTATGTTGCAAGGGTTGGAAAGAAAGAATGGGGTGAAACTTGTTTGTTTCTCAGACGCCTCTCATGCGCCACTTCGCTCGACTGGGCGAAGAGGGGTTACGGGTGGTGTTATCACAGCGTTTGGTTTCCTCATCAAAAGCCTGTCACGGCATCAGCAATTGGTAAGTTTGAGCAGCATGGAGGCAGAGTTGTATGCCATGCAGGCAGTAGCTCAGGAAATGGTTGCAGTTGGAAGGTTTCTGGGACGTGTTTTGTATACTCTGGGAAAATCCACCGAAAGGGAGGTCTCGGGAATTCTGTTCTCTGACAGCGAGAGCAGTTTGAAATTGTTGAGGAACATGGACATCCCTCGAAAGTCAAGACACTTGGAAATCAAGCTGGAGTGGATTAAGGAGCAAGTCAATCGGCAACGCTTGGAGATCAGATTCCTCCGGGGAACTGATAACCCAAGTGATATGTTGACGAAGTGCCTAGGAACCGCCGTGTTTGATCACCGCAGGGTTTCTTTAGGTTTCGAAGTGGTTGAAGGGCCGTTAGCTAGCATGACACGGTTGAAACATCACAACCTTGTGATTGTTGAGGTTTGTTGCGAAAGGGGGTCTTCCATTGCTATTGAGGCTAGGCGTATGGGGATCTTCTATATCGGTGTGACCAAAGACATGGAAACTCATAGAGTGTTTTCAGGTGTGAAAGAACGTTGTTGCAGTTTAGGGAACCGAAGAACGTTTTCGTGCACGTTTCATCGCCGTGTTCATCTGGATCGCCGCTTCGTCATCTTCGGGAGAGTGGAGAGCCCACAGATGCAGATTTCGAGTGGAACGAGATCTTTCCATATGTTGGAAAGTATTTGAAGCTTGGTGCCCACAGCTCGTTCGAACTTCCTTGGCACAATGAGATTTGGGGACGCCAGTTGACGCTTGAGACTTTGAGGTGTGCAGGACATGACTTTGATACACCTGTGCATCTTTGCTCGACGGGATTGCGATCTCGGAGTGGAAGGCCAGTTGGGAAGAAGCTTGGCTTTACGTCAAGTTCGAAGCCGTTTGTGATGACATTGAGTAAGTTGTTTGGATCTTGCAAGTGCACTAGTGAGCACGCAAGCATGAGTGATGTTGATTGGTCTGAAACGGCTCGATACAATGAAATGTTGGCCCGCGGCATAGTGAAGGCTGCTATCACATCGTTTCAGAACTAGAAGTGCAAACGGTTTTGAGAGAGGAAGCAGTCTAGTTTTCATAAGAAAGTTTTGGTGTTGAAGGAGCATATCTTAGATATGATGATTTTGACATCGGAAATGTTGCAGTTATGTCAAAGACATTGGAACGCAGAAACATGATGTGTTTCACGATTTTGTTTAAGACATGTTTTGTGAACGCACATGCATACTATAGAAGGAACATGTTTTGATCTTATGTTTCCACACAAGGTGTGGGGAGGTGAGGTTGTGATTTTGTCTCTTTTGTGAGGCAGGTGGCGAGGCTATGCTGGAGGTGTCCTTTGGATTCTTCTGGGGTGCCCAGGCATCTGTTTCACAGGCGATACTTGCGAGGCTTTCGTCCGGCGAACTGCTGGCTGATAGTGTCCGAGTAGCGCGACTGTGTTGAAAGACTTTACACACTTAGCTTCCTTAGTTGCGGGAGCCATGGCCAAGTCCGGAGATGAAGTCCCATTGACTGCTAGTGACCAGAAGGAGCTTCGACGCATTATGCTGAAAGTTCCGGAGGATGGGGATGTGTCCAAGTTGCCGAAAGGTGATTTGGCTACTTTGAATGATTTGATGAAGAAGAAAGCCGGCCTTTCTTCAGCCAGTGGTGAGAAGTCAGCGGGATCTATGAGTGATGCTAGCAAGCGTCGCAAAGAGGCCGTGGCGGAATCCAATGAGGAAGACGATGTTTCTTCGTGGGAGATTGAAGAGATCATGCCGCACTCGTTGCCGAGTGGAACGACCTTTGAGGAGTGGCAGAGGACCGTGTGTTCACTACC